ACTTTCTCTACTCTATGGTTTCTTTTATGGTTGCAGCAGCTGATAGATTTCAGTGAAGGACATCCTTGTGAAACTATGACATTGTTTCTCACTGAGGTTCAAGTCACATAGTTGTGCCTAATCACCATGAACAATTTATATCCTGTGGCTGAGAACCCTTCTATCCTTTCTGCTCTTCCTCTTGCTCCCTGTTACATTGTGATATGGTTTCTGCTCATTGTCTCAGTCATGTGTATTCCAGAGAACCACCTTCTCCCATCTGGATGTTTTTTCTTATTTGTTCATGGAATCTGGGCGTTGCTGGCTAGGCCAGCATTGATTGGCTATCTGCATTGTGGTTCAGAGTCATATGTTGGCTAGACTAAGTAATGGTGGTAGATTTCCTTCCATAAGTGACACTAGTAAACCAGATGGAGTTTTATGACACTCATCAGTGCAACTTGACTGGCTTTCTATCCCAGATTTGTAGTGAATTTGAATTTCACCATCTACCATGGTGGGGATTGAATCCATAAGACCATGAGAAGTAAGAACATGAGTGGGCCATTCAGACACTCAAACCTGCAATAGAATTCCACCTCATCTCAGTCTTAAATTGGAGACCCATGTGCCCAGAACATCAGCCTGGGGTTCAGTACTATGAGTCCGGTGACATTACGACTACACCATTGCCTCTCCTCCTCACCATAATAATAATGACAATGATTTTGTGTTTACTTGTGCATTAAGAAACAGTTGGAGGCACTGGATACTGCAAAGGATATGAGTTCTGACAAATTCAGGCAATAGTACTGAAGACTTGTGCTCCAGAACTTGCCACTCCTCTAGCCAAGCTGTTCCAATACAGTTACTAAGTGGCATCTACTGGACAATGTGGAAAATTGCCCAGGTATGACCTGTGTGCAAAATGCAGGACAAATCCAACTTGGCTGTTACCACCCTATCAATCTACTCTCAATCATCAGTAAAGTGATAGAAGGTATCAACAGTGCTATCAAACAACATCTGCTTAGCAATAACCAGCTCAGTGACGCCCAATTTGGGTTCGACCAGGGCCATTCAGCTCCTGACCTCATTATATCTTTGGTCCAAACATGGATGAAAGAGCTGAATTCCAGAGGTGAGGTGAGAGTGACAGCCCTTGACATCAAGGCCACATTCAACTGAATGTGGCATCAAGGAGCCTTGGCAAAACTGTAATCAATGCATAAGAGGAGTCAAACTCTCCGCTGGTTGGAGTCATACCTGTAACATAGCAAAATGATTGTGGTTGTTGGAGGTTAGACATCTAAGCTATAGGACAGCTCTGCAGGAGTTCCTCAGGGTAATGTCTTAGGCCCAACCATCTTGAGCTGCTTCATCAATGACCTTCTGTCCATCATGAGGACAGAACTGGCGGTGTTGTCGTCACTTTTTCCCAACTATCAACATCCTTGAGTTGCTATTGACTGGAAACTCACGTGGGCTTGCCATATAAGTACTGTCGTTACACGAGCAGGTCAAAAGGCTAGGTCTGCTGTGGCAAGTAGTTCACCTCCTGACTCCCCAAAGGCTGTCCACCATCTATAAGGCACAAGTCAGGACTGTGATAGAGTGCTCCCCACTTAGCTGGATGGATGCAGCTCCAACAAAACTCAAGAAGCTTGACATCATCCAAGATAAAGCAACCCACTGAATTAGCACCACATCCACAAACGCCCACTCCCTCCACCACCACCGTCAGTAGCAGAGTGTGTACTATCTACATGATGCAGTGCAAAAATTCACCAAACATCTTTAGATGGCACTTTCCAAACCCTTGAGCACTTCCATTTAGAAGGACAAGGGCTTCAAGCTACTGACCATCCTGACTTGGAAATATATCATCATTCCCTTCATTGTTACTGGGTCAAAATCCTGGAATTCCCTCCCTTAGGGCATTGTGGGTCCACCTATGACATGTGGTTTGAGTGGTTCACGAAGGCAGCACACCACCACTTCCTCAAGCTGTTGTTGAGATTGTGTCATGGAGTAGGAATAATCTATGAAGGGCAACTAGGGACAGGCAATAAATTCTGGCCAGCCAGCAATGTCCACGTCCCATGAGTGAATTTTTAAAAAAATAATTACAGAAACCTTGCAGTCATCAGAAAGTCCAACAGAACTTGTCGTATCACTCGCTGTAAACATTTGAAAACCCTTGAAACAACTATAGAAAGCACCAAGCACTTGTAGAATTGTACTAACAGCCAGAAGAGGAACAGTCAGTTACTATCTTTTAAATCATTCATGATCCGTAAAACAATGTGCATGGGGGTAGAGGAAGATGTCGATGTAGAAAGGATGTTTCCACATGTGAAGCAATCTAGAACAAGAGGTCAAAGCTTCAGAAGAAGGAGTGCCAGATTTAAAACAGATGAGGAGAAATTACTTCTCTTAAATGATCGTGAATCTGGGGAACAAAACAGAAATTGCTGGAGAAACTCCGCAACTATGAAAAGAAGGGCCCAGTGACCCTTCTTGAGAACTAGGGTGAATCAGTGAAGTTTACTACCCCCAGAGTGTGGTGGATGCTGGAAATTGAGTAAGTTTAAGGATAAGTTGGACTGATTTTTAATTAGTAATGGGTTGAAGGGTTATGGAGAACGGGAAGGAGACTGGAGCTGATGCAGAGATGAGACAAGCCATGATCATATTAAATGGTGGACCAAGCTCAAGGGGCTGAATTGCCTACTGCTTATGCTTGTTCTTATTTCTTTTGTTGTTGAATGTGAGAGGTTAAGAGTGGGCATTGCCACATCTGTTGACTACACAGCTGGGATCAAATTGGCATTGCCCATTGATTGATCTTCTCTGCTGTCTACATCAAAAACGTAATCACTGACACCTATTCCAACATGGTGTCTGGGGCGATTTGCTCTGCAGGTGCATGTGAATGCAACTAATGCTGTTTTGCAGCTTTTGGGACACACAACCACAAAAACGGGACTCCAATAAGTTCAATTCCTCGCCCAAATTGTCAACAAAGCAAGCTTAGAGAAATGACTGACTCTGAAAGCAGGAAGGCGATCAGAATAGACACTGCCATTAACCTCATACTTCAATAATGTGTCATTAAGGCTAATTTAGCCCCTCACTTCTGTCAGTCTCAGCCATTCTCACTAACCAGCTCCCTTGATGATGCCATTGATGATTGAAACTGCAATATTCCACACAAATATGAATGGAAATTGATTTCTTTTCAGAGTTTATCACAATTCTATACATTATTGAAAGGAAAGCTATATCTTCATTATGTTAAGATGAGATCAGCAGTACCTGCTGGCTGGAAAATTGATCCCTGACTTTCGTTCAAAAATGTAGCTTTCATGTCGGGGTCTTCAGACATTATGGGAGCCTATCAGGATAAACATGGATTGTTGGTGAGTTCATTAGCTTTCCATCTATCTGAGACCACACATATTGTGTAATTTGGGCACAATCTCTTACGAGATCTGTATTTTGCCTTGTTTTCCTGTTTATTATAAATCCAGATTTTTGTGTTGGCATTTATTTTGGCACCAAGATTTTTGTTTTCTGAAGCTGGGATGGGAAAATGGAAAAACATGGGAATATTTGCAATGTGTCCCCTGGAGTGTGGCAATATTTTCATAGGGTCTCGATTGATCTTTATAGGTGGTCCCTAGAAGTACTTTCAGGTTAATAGAGGATCTTGGGTGTGTGTTGGATTTTATAGTGGCTCTTGGCTGTTTGTTGATATTTGCAGGGAGTATCATAGAATCATGATTTTTTTTTTAATTTGTACTGAGGGTGTGGTCCAGTGTTTATTGTTCATCCCTAGAGAAGGTGGTGGTGAGTTGTATTCCTGAATCACTGCAATCTATGTTATGCAGGTAGACATACACCACTGTTAGGGGGGGAGTTCCAGGATTTTGACCCAGTGGCACTGAAGGATCTGTTATACATATCCAAACCAAGATGGTGAATGGCTTGTTGAGGAACTTGGAAATCGTGGTGTTCCCAATTATTTGCATCCCTTGTCCTCCTATATGGTAGTAGTTGTAGGTTTGGAAGGTGGTGTCTAAGGAGTCTTGGTGAATTTCTGCAGTGCATCTTGTTGATAGTACTCACTGCTGCCACTGTATATCAATGATGGAAGTGTTGAAAGTTGTAGGTACGGTGGCAGTCAAGCAAGCTGTTGTTGGAGCTGCACTTAGCAAGACAAGTGGGGAGTATTCTATCACATTCCTAACCTGTGCTTTTTAGATGGTGGACAGGCTTTGGAGAAACAGGTGAGTTATTCACTACAGAATTCCTAGCCTCTGAACTTCTCTTGTAGCTACAGTACTTATGCAGCTAGTTCAGTTCAGTTTCTGGCCAATAGTAACCTCCAGGATGTTGAAAGTGGGACATTCCATGATAACAAGGCCACTGAATGTCAAGGGGTGATGGTTAGATTCTCTGTTGTTGAAGATTGTTATTTCCTGGTACTTGTGTGGTCCAAATGGTCGCTGCTACTTACAACCCAGTCCTGGATACTGCCTAGGTTTTGCTGCAATTGAACATGGACTGATTCAGTATCTGTGGAGCCACAAGCAATGTGCAATCCTCAGCAAAAATCCCCCATTCTGACCTACTGATGAACTGATGGAGGCTATGATGAGATCAGAAGCTAGATAGCCCTTATCTAAGATACCAGTGTTGTAGCTGTACTGAGCAATTGGGCTTGGGGCATGGCAATTTCTGGAGCACAAGTCATCATTACTATTGCCAGAATTGCAGGCAGTGGTGTTCCTGGGCACATTTTCAGAGGGTCCCCAGAAATGTTGTCAGTATTTGCAGGGTTTCTTAAGTGGGTATCGTTATTTGCAGGGGTTCTCTGAGGCTTCATCAAATGAGACACAAAGCAAGAAGTGCATTTCCATGTTTTTGTTTTCAGGCTCTGCAATTGTATTTACTAAACCAATCCTCTGACAATGTGAGAGTCTTAAAATAACCATGTCTGTTTTACATCTTGACAGATTTCACTAGAGATGCTACAGTCAGTTTGAAGGAGCCTGAGGCAGCTGACAATACAAAAGGATGAGCCTTTACTCCTGCTTTTTATGCTTCTAGGAAAAAGAATTTTCATTTAATTGATTTTCACTGAACCCAGAAATCGTAACGGGCACATGTCCAAAACAAATCTGTAGTTAACCCAACACACTGCAGTTTTGACTGCATTATTTAAATTCACAAATCTCCTGGGCTTTCCCCGTACAAATTTCCATTTGATCAGAAGTGGAGACAAAGTGAAAATGATGAAGTACTGGGGTGAGATTCCCGTATCCTCTGCTCAGCCCAGTCGGAGTTCTTTTGACCTGCTACAGCGGGAGTTCCGGACGGTGGAAATTCAAGACCCTCCATTGCACCAGCCCTCGGCTGATCGTCCCCGACCTACAACCATGTTAGACGTGCCATCCGAGCCCTGTGGCCTAACTGTCCACACCATTCAGCTTCTACAGTATAACCGACGGCTGCGGAGTCTCATCGCTGCAGCACAGGCACAGGGCCAGCCACAGGTGGAGGGCATGAAGGCAGAAGAAGCTGAGACCCTGCCACCTGCACCCGACTCACCGCCCATCCCGGATGAGCTACTGCCTCTGGATAGCAAAAGCCCAAAGCTGCCTTTCCAGTTGAGGCACAGTGACCCAGAGAGTGACTTCTACAGGTGAGCTCACAAGTGCAAAGATTCCAAGGAAAGAAAGAAAAACCTGAATTTGCACAGCACCTCTGATATGCTCATAATGTCCCAAAGCATTTTACATCCAGTTATGAAGTGTAGTCACTATCGTAATGTAGAAACAAAGTACCACAACTAGCAGATCGTCATCTGGTTCCTATTCATTGGTGTTTGAAAGATAGATATTAGTCCAGGAATTTCTTTGAAATAGTGTCATGATACCTGCGAGGGAAGAAGGGACCTTAGATTAATTTCACGAATAGGTTGACACTTCCGACAGTGCAGCATTCCTCCAGTTCTTACTCTAGATTAAGTGCTGTATTTTTTGGAGTCAATCTTGAATCCACAACCTTTGACTCAAAGGCAAATGTGCTGCCACTAAGCTGTTGTTGAGATTGTGTCATGGAGTAGGAATGATCTATGAAGGTGTTGTAATAGAATGTTCTTCAAGGCATAATAATGATAATTGGGAAAAAAGCAGTGAGTTAGATCTTGACAAGGCACTTAAAGGAGAGCAGTATCCTTCTATATTATCACAATCGATTTTTCTTTTACACTGGCTATAAATTTGCTCTATCGATCCTGCTACGGTTAGGTCAAGTGATTTGTTGCAACAAATCTTCTGCTATCGTTAAGATCTACTTGACACAGCACTTTGACTGCATCTGCAAACTGCGGGCTTGGCCACAGATCATGCTTGTGTAGAAATTCATGGGGCTTGTTGCACTTGAACATGTATGTGAAGAGAAAATGAGTGTGTCTGTATGTATCTGCTAAAGGGGGAAAAGTGTTGTCACTATAAGGAAAGAGCAGGGGTCTACAACTAATTGGGTAGCTCTTTCAAAAGAGCTAATGCAAACAAATTGGGTTGAATGGCTTGTGTTCTGTGATTGTTGTGGAATTTAGTAGGTTTCCAAATCATTTTTATGTGGACTTTTAGGTCTGATTTGCTCTTCTTAATACAAGTGTCCAACTCTCTATGCTTAGTTTGTTGAATTCAAGATTTATCTCACGATCTCACGATATTGAGTGTAAGAGTTAGGATGCCATGTTACATCTTTATATAACTTTAGTTAGGCCACAGTTAGGGTATTGCTTTCAATTCTGGTCACCACATTACAGGAAGGATGTGGATGTTTTGGAGAGCGTGCAGAAGAGGTTTACCAGGATGCTGCTTGGATTAGAGGGTATGAGCTTTAAGGAGAGGCTAGAAAAATTCAGGTTGTTTTCTCTGGAGGGCGCAGGCTGAGGGGAGAATTGATAGAAGTCTATAAAATTTTGAGATGCATAGATGGGTTGACAGTCAGAATCTTTTCCCAGCGTTTGAAATGCCTAATACTAGAGGGCAGGCATTTGAGGTGAGAGGGAAAATTCAAAGGAGATATGAGGGGCAAGTTTTTTAAACAGAGTGGTAGGAGTCTGGAACGTGCTGCCAGGGTGGTGGTCGAGGCAGATACAATAGGGGCATTTACGGGACTTTTAGATAATCACATGATTATGAAAGGGCAGGCAGAAGGGTTTAGATGTCACCTGTTACTTTGTTTCCATTCTTGCAGTTTTTCAATCACAGTGGGGTTGTGCATTAACTTTCTCCGTAGGGCAGTTTGTACCATAAGCTAATTGCACAATCAGGTTCCTCTTTCGTTTCTTTTTAACTCTTTTATGGAATCAGTGCTGGGGCCACAATTAATTACAGTATATATTAATGATTTGAATGAGGAGAGTGAATGTACTGTAGCCAAGTTTGTGGATGCCACATAAATAGGTGGGAAGGCAAGGAGTGAGGAAGACACGGAGAGTCTGCAGAGGGATGTAGACAGGTTAGTGAGTGGGCAAAAACTTGACAGCTGGAGTGTAATGTGAGGAAATGTGAGATTATGTACGTTGACAGGAAGAATAGAGGAGCTCAATATTATTTAAATGGTGAAAGACTGCAGAAATATACAGAACAAGGGGGATTTGGGTGTCCTCGTTCATGAATGACAAAAAGCTAGCATCCAAGTTCAGGGGTAATAGGAAGGCAAATTGACTGTTAACGTTTCTTTCTACACAAATAGCTAATAAAAATATGGAGGTTTTGCTAAACTATACATGACACTTGTCAGACCGCAGCTGGAATACTCTTTTGGTACCCTTATCTAAGGAAAGATATCCTGGCATTATAGGCAGTCCACTAGGCTGATATCAGTTATGGAGGGACTGTCAATTGAGGTGAGGTTAAGTGGCTTGGGGCTGTATCTGTTGCAATTTAGAAAAATGAGAGGCAACCTTATTGAAACTTTCAAGACTCTTGGGGGACTGGACTTGACAAGGGAGATGCAGAAAGGTTGTGTCCCCTTTTGGAAAGTCTAGGAGCAGAGGGCATAATCTCAGAATAAGGGGTCACATCTTTATGACAGAGATGAGGAGGAGTTTCTTCTGAGGATTGTCAATCTGTGGAATTCTGTACCATAGGGATGGTACAGAATTGAGGCTATTGAGGCTGAGTCATTAAGTATATTCAAGTCTTAGATTGAAAAAGCTATCTATCAGTAAGCGAGTCAAGGTTTAGAGGAAAAGGTAGGAAAGTGGAGTTGAGGATCATCAAATCAGTTATGATCTCATTGAATGGCAGAGAGGGTTTGGTGAGCTGAATTGCCTACTTCTGTTCCTGTGGCTTATTGTCTAATGTGAGCATTAATAGAAAGACTAGTTGCTCATCTCTAACTGTCATTAAGAAGGTGACTGAGAATTGCTGCAAACCAGCTGATGGAGGTACAGATAGTTCTCCTATAACGCGATAGTTGCGTTGTTGTGTGACCTCGCGATAGAAAATCACGTTATAGAAAGTCACATTGTGGCAAAATCGCTGTACCTGTATAGCAGAAAGTTTGCGTTTTCCAAACAGCGTCCAATATTCATCAATCGTGTTACAATTTGCGATAACAAAACACGTGTTATAGCAGAACTACCTGTAGACCTAAAGTGCTTTTAGTAACGGAGTTCCAGGTTTTTGGCCCAGTAACAATGAAGAAATGATGTTACATATCCAATGAGAATGGCATATAATTTGTAGTGGAACTTAGAGATGGTGGTGTTAAAGGTCTTTCCTTGCATTTGCTGCCTTTATTCTTCTAAGTGGTAGTGGTCATGAGTTTGGAAGCAGTTACACAGTCATACAGCACGGAAACAGACACTTTGGCGTAACCAGTCCATGAGCCTTGATTAGTTGCCACAGTGTTTCCTGTTGATGGTACAAACTGGTGCTATCATGCATCAGAGATGGAGGGAGTAGATTTTGAAGGTGGTGAATGGGGTACCAATCAAGTGGCATGTTTTGTTGTGGATTGTGTCGATCTTCTTTTATTGTTAGAGTTCCACCCATCCAGGCAAGTGGACAGTACCGAATAGAATCCGATGGCACAGAAAGTTGATTGTTCCCATGTTTGCTTTTTGATAGTTATCCCCAATCCTTGTCCTTCTCCCACATCCCTGAAGATTTTTGTGTAAGGTGATGTTGAAAATTGATGGTGTAGATTAACAACTTCAAATGAAAGGGCATGAAAGAGATAGGTGGTCTCTCAGGGAAAGGTTACTTGAAAATAACGTACTTAAAAATTGGAAATATCTCATCTCCATTCCAGACCTATTAGTATTGGCTGCCTCTCAATCATGTTATGAATGATTGGTTATCTGTGTTGTGCACTAATGCACCTGGAAAGAGGTATGCTTACAGAGCACCAGGAATCTTCGCACTTAAAGATAAGCCCACAAATCCGATTCATAACTGATAGCACGGTGCTTACTGGACAAGAACGAAGTTTACCAATGTGCGTTGCTCATAAACTTCATGATTTTATTTTTTCAACCCCCCAGCTAGTAATCTGAAAGCACTAAGCGTCCCAAGCAAGTGGTCCTTTTGACAATAAAGATGTGTTTCCCTATTGGGCTAAATAGAAAACTCCTTCTATGTGGGTTTATCAATGCCATGTTTTGAAGAATTGCTGGGAAAGTTGTAAGCCATTCAGCATCTCACATCTTCTGCCAATTGGTTCAATGCCTGACGTGCATTCAAATTCCCATTAACCCACCCTAAGTCCATGCATTATCTAAAAATGTTGAATTGAGTTTGCAAATCTCAATTGATTCAGACACAACACCTTGCTGGGGAAAATAGTATCGTTCTTTTCTCTTCAACAAGGCCATGGTTTTCTACAACTCAGAAAGTAACTGTAAAAGAAAGATTTTGTGGCCCTGTTTTTAGCATGGTATCACCACTAACAACTCCACTTCCCAAAATGAATTAGCTGTAATGTTTATGGTTTGTGGCCCTAGAGGAAAAGGTGAACCTGTGACAGAACTCAGTTGGACGTCTTGTCGGCAGCTGCTTTACCAGTCAGTTGCCACCATCCTGGCTCACGCGGGCTTTGAATCTGCCTACGAGGGTGTTCTGGAAACACTGACAGACATTGCCAATGATTACTACTTCAAATTTGCAAGGCTTCTGCGTTTTGCCACGGATCGAGAAGCACGGGTCGGGCAGACTCCATTCCAGGATGTGATGGAGCAGGTCTTCCACGAGATGGGAATTGGCAGCGTGCTCTCCTTGCAGAGGTTCTGGCAACATCGTATTAAGGACTATCATAGCTACACTCTCCAGGTTGGTAAACAACATCGTGAACGCATTCAAATATTTCAGAACCTGCCAGTGGGACTCGATAATGCCACTGTGGCAATCGTCATTCAGCTTTGGAATTCTATCCATTTTCCTGTCCAGCCACTCATCTTTAAGTAATTGTTAGCATTGGACTTTTTTCCTTTGTCATAAGTTTATACTTATTCTGAGTTTTCTGAAATATCCTTTTTATATGTCTGTACTGCTTCTTTATTGATCTATTCACAGCCTAGTATCCAGTTCACTACAGCTAGCTGTGTTTTTATGCCCATCCAGTTGCCCGTATATAAATTTAAAATAAGGTTAAATTTGACCCACACCACTCCCTTTTGAAGGAAATGTAAACTTCGGTCGTCTTGTGGTCGCTGCTAGGTTGCCTCTATACTGAGGTCATTCATTAAGCTGGTCACATTACAATACCAAGTTTAGTGTAGTCTACTGTCTGATTGGTATCAGTATGTGCTACACTAAGAAATTATCTCAAATGCATTCACTAAACTTTTCTTCCAGCTTACAATTGCCAGTCTGATTTTTCCAGTTTACTTGTTGATTAAAGACACCCGTGATTATTCCCATCAATATATAACAAGCACCCAATATTTCTTTATATATGCTTGCTCCTACATTTTGTAGTTAGTGTTCAGGGTCTTGTAGACCATTTCCACCAGTGACTTTCCCTTCCCCTATTATTCCTCATCTCCACCAAACCGTTTCTTCTACTTCCTGATCTCCTGAGCCGAGGTTATCTCCAATTGTTGTACCAATGACGTCCTTGATTAACAGTGCTACTCCTCCACCTTTACCTAGCTTCCTATTCTTTTTTTGATGTATTCCTCAATATTCAGGATCCAGTCCTTGTCATTATGCAGCCATTTCTCCGTAATGGCTATCAGATCATTTTTATTTACCTCGCTGTGTGTTATCAATATATTTACTTTGTCATGAATACCATGGTCAATCCGGAGCCTTTAGTTTTGTCTTTTTGTTATCTTTGTAATATTTAGTCTTGGGTTCTGCTAATTTTCTCTGTTCCTTGCTGTTGTTCTCTGGCCTTCATTTCCCATATTACTATATTGTTCACCTGTTTTTATTCTACCACTCAATATACTACATTTACCCAAGCCTGATCCCTCCCACTAATTGCTTCATTTAAACACATCCCTGCTTCCCTATTGGTACCGTGTGCTAAAAGATCGGTCCAAGCGTGGTTCAGGTGCAGACCATCCCAAAAGAACAGCCCCTACTTTCCCCAGAAATGGTGCTAGTACCTAATGAACTGGAACCCACGTCTACATACAAGCCTTTGAGCTATTTGATTTCATTAATGCACATGCCCTCTGCCAATTGATTGACTCAGGTAGTAATTCAAAGATTATTGCTCTTCAGATTCTGCTTTTCAATTTGGTGTCAAAGCAAAACTTCCTATCCTGCCTATATTGTTGGTACCTACATGGACCATGATAATGGGATCACCTACCCACACTTCAATTTCCTGTCCATTCCCAAGCAGATGTCCTGAACCTTGGCACCAGGTAGGCAATGTAGTCTCCTGGCCTCATGTTCTTGGTTGTACAGAACAATGTCAGTCTCCTTCACTATACCTTTCCTTATTCCAACTACTTTCCTTTTTGCTTCCCCCACTTGAATGGATTCTTGTTCCATGATGTCATGGTCAGTTCGCTTATTCACCCTGCAGCCCGCACAGTCTTCTAAAAAGCAGAAAAGCCTAAGACCCGGAGAATTGCAAAGACTGAGGCTTCTGCATTCTGCCCTCTGGGTCCCCTAAACTACTTTGCCGTTTCAATATGTACTTTTGTGGCTTGCTGTTGATTTTTGCTAGATAATGCACCTGCAAACCACCTTAGAATGTTTTACTATTTAACGGTGCTATATAAGTTAGCGTTTCTGTGAGATTATTGTTGTATAGTACTGAACCATGCAGACCAAGAAGATCCAAAGCCCCCTTGCGTGGTTGAACTGTGTTAACTGGTTTGCCGGGAGTAGCATTGAGCTGTTGTAGTTGCTTCAACTGTCTGAGCTGGAGAGGGAAAAGAAATCAGCCAAGTTCCCAGGGCCTGAATGTGCACGGACATCAAAATTAGCTATTCTTCCCTTGCATAACCAAATAAGCGTTAAGAAGCTTTCTGCCAAATGTCCTGAAGTCCCATCAAATCCACTCTGCCATTCAATGTGATCATGGCTGATACCGTAATTGTCAAGTCCTCTTTCCTGTCTTATCCCCATAACCCTTACTTCTCTGATGCAAATTCTGCCTATCTCTTTTCTGATGAAGGGTCGAGGCCTGAAACGTCAGCCTTTCTGCTCCTATGACGCTGCTTGGCCTGCTGTGTTCATCCAGCCCTGCACCTTGTTGTCTCTGCCTATCCCAGCCTTGAATGTACTAGACAACCCAGCCTCTACTCCCCTCTTCAGTAAAGAATTCTATAGATTTGCTACTGTCTGACAGAAGAAATTTCTCCTCCTCTGTCTTAAATTGGCAACTCTTACTTTGACATTATGTTCTCTGGTCCCAGACTCTTCTACAAGGGGAACCAACCTGTTGTCACCTGTTGACTAACTGATCTATTTCTAGCATTGTTATGGACTCATTAACAAAGTACAAATCTTCTGCAGTAATATTGCCCTCCAAGGTATCAGTACATCTCTCTGAAAATTACACAATGCTTAGCAACTGACCATCTGTCTTGTTTCCACATGCACTTTTTATATCTTGTACACAGGTGAGCAAGCAACTGGCTGAAGAGTATGAGAAACTGGTTAGTCCTGAGAAGATCTCAACTGAGGACACTAAACCATTGAAAATAAAGGATGAGCCTATAAGTGACATTGCTTTCCCAGTCAATGAAGAGAATGAGTCTGATCTGTCTGCAGGCGAACAGGCCCTCCAACTTGGGGTCCTGGCACAGGCTCATGAACGTTTTGCTGCTGCCCTGGAGGTTGATGCATCCCCTCAGACATCAGGTAACAGCTTATTTCAAATTCCACCTTAGTCCCTCAATGAGCTACCCTGATATATACATTAAAAAACTGTGCATTGTGGACACTCTGGTGTCTGGCAGCTATGGGGCTGTTTTTGTAGTTGACCTTATGGATATTATGCTTAATCTAAATTTAAAAAAGCAGAAGAATAGTGAATAATTTGCCCATCACCACAGGGAAATCACTGTTATCGCCAAAAAAGATGTATGAAAACATTTAATCCCCAATATAGATTAACTACTTAGCCACAGTGGCAGTTGGTAAAGAGCTTGCCATTCCACAAGTGGATTTATCTTGCAAACCTACTGCTGCTCTCTCTGTCTTGTGTTATTAAGCTTGAGGTCTTCCTCCGGCCAGTGCCTAGTGACACCAGTTTCTCACCCTCAAGGTTTGGAGAGAACACTGTTCTGCACTGCTGTCTGATCTAACAAGCCACATAAAAAGGGTAAAGCTTCCTTTATATCATGCATTTCTCATCAGGAGGACATTCTAAAGCATGATGCATTGCTTTGATGTGATTTGTAGATAAACTAGATAAGGCAGTCTGCGTGAATGTAACAGGGTCCCAAGACCAGTTACTAACCAGTTGTTTTGTTACATCTGTTTGGGGATGAATTTTAGTCAATGCACCAGGAAAACAAAATGTGTCTTCTTAAAAATACTATGCAATCTTTTTATAATCATTGAATAGACTGACTGTATTTACTGTTTAATCTCAAATATGAAAACTTTGATGTTGTAACACTGATGTATCAACCTGAGTTGTACACTCAGTACAGGAATAGTATTTGAACCCACAGTCTTTTTAATTAAAAAGTACTACAGTGAGCCAGGTAGGTATTATTGCCCACCATGGAAAATCTCAATACTACAGCATTACACAGAGTCATAGAGTCGTACAGCACGGATTCTATTTAATGGATTTTATTCTATATTCCCTAGCTAACTGCAGGGTGGGAAATGGAGGCAACATTTACGCTGAATATCTAAATGTAAATGGCAGGAGACAATGATAGTGACTTTGGAGATTACTGCCATAAAATCATTGCTTCAAGCTGTGTCTCGTGGGTTATTTTCATTTCTGTCTGAAGCGAGCAGAAGCTTAGTGCTTGTTGTGGTATTTAGCAAACTTAATAAGATTTTAAAATGTTGCTGATAACACAGGCCCTTAAAATAGTCATATTCTGCTTGGGAACCCTGCAGCCCAATGGTATCAATGTGGATTTCACAAGTTTCAAAATCTCCCCTCCCCCTACCGCATCCCAAAACCAGTCCAGCTCGTCCCTGCCTCCCTAACCTGTTCTTCTTCCCACCTATCCCCTCCTCCCACCTCAAGTCGCACCTCCATCTCCTACCGACTAACCTCATCCCACCCCCTTGACCTGTCCGTCCTCCCTGGACTGACCAATCCCCTCCCTAACTCCCCACCTACACTCACCTTTACTGGCCCCATCCCCACCTCTTCGACCTGTTTGTTCCCTCTCCACCTATCCTCTCCTCTATCCATCTATCCGCCTCCCACTCTCTCCCTATTTATTTCAGAACCCCCTTCCCCTCCCCCTTTTCTGATGAAGGGTCTAGGCCCGAAACGTCAGCCTCTCTGCTCCTATGATGCTGCTTGGCCTGCTGTGTTCATCCAGCCCTGCACCTTGTTGTCTCGGATTCACCAGCATCTGCAGTTCCAACTACCCCTTAAAATAGTCATTTTGTTGTCAGGGCGTATCAATGTCCTGTGGAGTAATTTGGCTGAGTTTCACATGTGAGAGAATATGTATAACGCTGCTTACATAAGAGATCATAGCACCTGGCAAGATTCAGTAACCCACCCCTTGTACTGCTTTCACTGATTTTAGTAAGGCTTTGATTTAGCAAGCCACGACAATCATAGTAGCGATGGTAGTACATTGCTGCACATTGAATTTAAACCAGAATGTGTACTGGAGCTTGAAGATTTACAAACGTACAGAAGACTCACTACCATCCTTCTTGAAAGAACAGTAAGAAAATGCCTGCTCTCACCTACCCTTGTCTTTATTGATGATATCGTAAGAGACAGTTTTGTCTAATTTATTTTAGAATCTTTGAACGTTTCGGAGGTGCTGTTTTATTGAACATACTCTTTGAGCAGACTCAACTAATGATCAAATGCACTCTATTTCATCTTCTGGGCTGACCAGTGGGAGTTGCCATTGGGTTCTATATTATGGCTTTTCACCATCTGGAATTTTGAAGGTTTCAATTAGACATTAAAGTTTAGAAATAATAATAAACTCTCAGTTTAGACAAGTGTAAAATAGCATGATAACTTCAAGTTACCTCGGATCACTATCCAGAAGCTGGTCATCTCGTGACAGGCAGGGCAGGACCAACTGGAGCCTGTGTCTGAGGTACTCTCCACCAGCAACTGTTCATCAATATCAGTTTGGGCATATCCACAGTCCTTCCCTTGTCATGTGCATGATGCAGACAGACTTTCAAATAGAAATGAACAATTCAACTCTTCATCCTAAGTCACTTCTTTTCTTTAAATGAAATCATAAAATGTACAGATAGCTAGGATCTAACAGAGGCAGTGTGTTTTGGGCTAAAGTCTCCGAATTCATCGAGAACAGATCTGTCGCTCAATGGTCATTTCAGGCTCATTTTGTTATTTTCAGACCTTCAGTAGTTTAATTTTGCATTCAGTCTGCAGCTCAGGAGGATAGGACTGAGCGAAAAACTTCTTCAGAGATTTGGACTTGCACTTACTCACAATCTCAACACTTTCTGACAATATTATAATAGGAGGTTTGGAAAATAATAATAAGGGCTAGTTAGACAGTTAAGGGTTAGGGAGACTGACAGGTTAGCAGAGTAGGTGGACAGATGGTAGATACAATTTAATGTGGACCAAGAACATTATTTCCCTTACATTTGTATATAGCTCCTGTAATTTAATGTGGACCAAGAATACCATTACCCTTGCATTTGTATATCACTTCTGTAATGTAGAAACAAGTGAAAACTTTGAGATAAATGTTGTGGGTGTTAATAATGAAGAACGGACATACAATGTACATTGAACAGAAAAATACAGTGAGACATGGATGATTAGAAATATCTCAGACTTAGAATACAAAATCTACTGAAATTGTGAGTACAGCTCGATGATGTCATAAGCTTGACCAATAGATTTTCTTTAATTCATTCACTGGATGAGGGCGTCATTGGTTAGGCCAGCATTTATTGGCCATTCCTAATTACTCAGAGTCAACCACATTGCTGTGGGTCTGGAGTCACAAGCAGGCTAGACCAGGTAAGGATGGCAATTAGCGAACCAGATGGGTTTTTCCGACAATCGACAATGGATTCATGGTCATAGTTTAGATTCTTAATTCCAGAAATTTATTGAATTCAAATTCCATGATCTGCTGTGGTGGAATTTGAACCTGTGTCCCTAAAACATTACCTGGGTCTCTGGATTAACACTCTAGTGATAGTACCACTAGGCCGTTGCCTCATCGACAATTTAATTGATTATATAAATTGGAAAATAGAATGCAAGAAGCTGAAGCGTCACCAGTGCCATCTCTGAGAAACTAGGGATTGGTAATAAATGTCAGCCTTACCATCTTTGGTCACGTTGTCTCATGGCTTATGTTATAAAAATCATTTTGTTTCATGATTATGTTTTGCTGTTTTGTTTCTTTCAGGCCCTGAGGTAAGCAGCTCTCCGTTGTGGAACCTTACTCAAGTTAAAATGGAGCCTCAGGAGAATGAAGAAGGCAATGGACCTCATGGTGTTTTGGGCAATGATGTTTTCGAAGAGCCAATGTCTGCCATGAGTGACTCTGGTATCCCGCAAACCCCTAACACTGCTGGATCTGATGGCAGCTATATATCCCACTCACCTGACAGCCTGATAGCCTCTTCTCCTGTTTTCAACCAGCGACCAAAGAAAAAGATGAGAAAAATGTGAATATTCATTGGGCATGCAAAAGCCTCCTTTATTTTCTTTTCTCCTTTATCTTTCAGATGCTTATTTGAAATAGTTCTTTTCCATAATAAATAATGCTAAACTTAAATATTTTTTCCACCAAAACAGGAATTGAATTCAGAATTATTGTTGTGTTTAATGTCAGTGGGCAAGAACAAAACAGTAACAAAAATGCTTCAACCAGCCTGAAGTTCCTTCAGGCTATTTATAATGATGCTGAAGAGGAAAGGTGAGATGGTGCTAGGAGAAAGAATCTGGACTTTGAGGGTCTGAATAGATGCAATGTTATATTTCCATTTACGGAATTTAAATTGTAACTTGGTTTAAAATGAAGAAGAGTTCTTTGTGAGAAAGAATAATTCTTGTTTCTTACCATTAGTACAAACTGTTCACCTGTTCTGTTGCATGTTAGGTAACCAATATGACAGCCATTTTGGCTAATCAGATGTAGCTAATTTGCCCAAATTATAGAAGCATAGGATCCCTAGAGTGTGGTAGCAGGCCTTTCAGCCCATCAAGTCCATATCGTCCCTCTGAACAGTATCCCATCAAGATCCAGCCCCCACCCTATACATTTCTCATTGTTAATCTACTTAGCCTACACATCCCTGGACACAATGGGCAATTTAGCATGGCCAAACCACCTAACATTCACGTCTTTGAATGAAATTAGCATGTTTACTAAGTGAGAAGGATTTCATATTTATTTTAATCCACCTGTTTGGACGTACTGTGACCCACGTCTGGGACAAGTGGGACTTGAACCTGAATCTTCTGGCTGAAAGGTAGAGATAATACCACTATGCCACATAGTGGCAGTTGTTAGAATTTAAACTTAATATTAACATTTAATTAATAAATCTAGAATTAAAGTCTAGTCTCAGTAATGGTGACTATGATAACTATTATGAATTGTTGCAAATGTCTATCTGTTTCGTATATGTCTTTTGAGGAAGGAAGTCTGCCATCCTTACCTGATCTGGCCTCTATGTGACTACAGTAATGTAGGTGACTTTTAACTACTCTTTGGATGCTAAATTAGCCACTTAATTCAAAGGCAATTAGGATTGACCAATTAATTCTGACCTTGCCAATGACATTCATGTCCCATGGAAGAATCAAAACAATTTTTCAATGACAGAAATAAGCCTTGACACTTGCTCCATTTCTCACTGGGTATCTGTATTTAAAGAAAAACAAGGTGTCAACCTCCTCACTTTGAAATAACACCAGCTTTGTGCAAGTGAAGCCAAAGTTTGGAGTTTAATCCATGAAAATCTAACAATTCTAGTATAAAATGCATTAAAAATTGTTGTGTGTTTGAGACCTTGCAGAGAGAGGATCCCTTCAGAGTTAACAAATGAGGAGGTAGTGTGTAAAATTAAAGAGGAATTTGAGTGATGCAGGAAGAACTGTTTTCGTTGAATTTCCAACCAACCAGTGCTGCCATTGTGGTAGTCTGCACACAACCAGTGTCACCTTCATAATGCCGTAGTAGATATAGACAGCTTTTTCCTTTCTGCTGTTTTTTCATCTTCCCTATGTAACCATTGAGTTTATAAGCAGTGTAATTATATGAATCCAAGCTGTTAGCACTCTTAACTCAGATTGGATGCTCACTGCCCATTCTTTTCTGACTATGAACTTAAAACTCCCTTCTAGATGCACAACATGAATAAATTAACCCTGAGTGTAGAAGTGGAGCATTGAGACTTTGTGGGTATTTTCTCTTCTGCCTGGGTCTTTCTCTAAATATTTGGGCACCTTAACCACATGTTCATAATCTAAATGAGCTATTCATAAGCACTGTATTTTTTATCAATGGTAAATTGTCTTAGGTGAACAAGCTCCTAAATTAAAACATTTCGTGAGGAAAAAAATACATAGCAATTTTGATTGTTTTTGGGCATGATCACTCCTTCATATAACAATGTGCAAAGCTGGTATTTTCTGACCACGAGTATTATTCAGTTATTACTGCCACTTGCAACTTTCTGTTTTACTGTGACACAAAATATTAATCAAACTAGTGGTTAAGGAATAGTTTAGAACTTGTTTGTGGTATTTCCAGAACAGTTAGCTTCCGTGGTAAGCTCACAAAATTCAGAGATCCAAAGAAACAAATGTTTTATGAAATTAAATGTTGTAGTCTTTGATAATCTGGTAAACTGTCTGGCCTTGGACCATGAGAATTAAAAAATTTACTGGGAACACACAGTAAGTTCATAGAACAGTCTTCAAAAGTTGTAGGAGAGGGTCTGTCCCTGAAATCTCAACTTAATGCTTTGCTGAACATTTCAGACCTTCTCATTTGTTATGTTCTCTTCAAAGAACTATTTGTCCCTATTATTTGAAATGAAACCCACCACTGGTGTCTGCCAATCATTTATAAAGTGCAGTGCTCATGTCTAGGAAAGTTAAAATAACAAAAATCTTTTTTCAAGTTCCTCGGGAAAGCAGCCTAACTCGATAAAGATAGGCTGGTGCTGTCTTTTGTTCTCTCAGTGAACAAAGTGAGGCATTTCAAATTTATTTTTTTCAAACACTGCTAGCAAACATTTTGTGAAGCTGTCATGTTTACTTGCTGTTGGTTGGGCAAGTGCATTACATTAAACAACAGGTGTTGAGTTATTTATTTCCACAAGCACTTAGGCATTGTATTGGGCTCAACCATGTTCGATAATCAAGTGACCTAAATATTAGAAATATTAATAGATTCATTTCACAGAAAGAGTTTGCAAGACCAGAACATCCTAGATGCATTCTCTCTCATGAGTCTATTCTCATCCTTATAACTAGTGGGACAAATTTGAGGCCTCATCTGATGAATGGGGCAGAAAAATTTCTGAAAGAGATGGTTGTTTTTATTTTTTCCTGTCATATTTATCAATATTTCTGACGAGTGTTAAAATTATAGAACACCTTGATCAATAAGTAGAAAAAATAAAGTTTGGTTTTGAAATGTTCCAGTTCAGATCAAGATTTTGCATTTAAATACGGCCTTTAATGTAAGGCATATCATAGTACTCAAGAGAAGTGAATAACACATGATAAATTAGGGAATGTACCCGAAAGAAAGGGTCACAGACGAGAGGAGTCTATATCAAGGTGACACGACTTTCTTCAGCAACAGAGAATGGAAAGAAAGTCGACCACTGCATCTTCTAATTATTTTTGACAAAGGCAAAAATATTTCTAACTCATGTAAATAGACCTGTCTTGTTAATTGACCCCTTTCAGGCATTGTGCTGGTTGTAGAAACACATGTTGAACCTTCGCAGTCAAACACTCTGTCGTGAATGGACTCCTTTTTGATGAACAAAAAATGCCTTGCATCATTTATGTTTCTGTGTAATAAGTTAAAAGAAATAGCACAGAAAGAAACTGCATTTTTGTCACAATCATCTGTCTGCTTGAAATGAAGGCTTTTGCTTTCAGCGTTGCTTCTGATTTATATATTTTTTTAAAATCAGGAAATTTTCTATACCGCAAGTCATTTTCTGTGATTCTGTGGTGAGATTTCAGACTGGTTGCTCAGTGAATTACCAGCATTGCTGCAGGCTTAGGTGCACATGGGATGTATAGCCTGATGCCTTGCAGCTTTTCAGTTGATTGATGGATCTATCGAATTCAGGGGTCAGGGCTCTCACATAGGCATAATCTGTCGATTGAAAGCATTTATTTCCAACGAAAATGTTATTGTGTGGGTCATGTTTCATTTTTTCCTTGTAAATTTTAGATTTTTTTTTGCTGCTTTTACACAGTAATAGCTTTATTTCCAATGATTCCAATAAATTTCAATTTACTTCCAATAGAAGGCTGCATCTGGAACATTTTCATTTTTATTCACATGCTGACTTGGATCTGCTGTGCATGTCAAGAATTTGCACCACTTCTTGTCACTCTAAATGACTGACTATTCAAATTCTAAATTATATAGAATCATAATTCATGGGAATTATGTACAATAATTCATGTTTTGCAATCTATTTGCTGATGACGTGAAATCAATATAAAAGTTAACAAGAACAAAAATAGCTGGAGAAACTCAGCAGGTCTATGAAAAGAAAAGGTGGAGCAGAGGGTGCACAGGTCTGGAGCATCGCTGGGAACAAAGCAGAGTTAACGTTTCAAGTCTGGTGGCTCCTCATCAGAACAGTTAGTAGTTAGGAAAAGGTGATATTTATGCTGAAGCTGAAGCGAGGGGGAGTGGAAGGGGAGAGGTGAGTGGATAGGTGAAAATGGAACCCAGACAGGGATATAAAAGAGGTAGGTAAATAAGGAAATTATGGATAGCACCCCAAGACGGAAGAAAAGCTGAATAAGTGATGGTGGGAGCTGAGACTAGGAGAAAATGGGTGAGCTTGCTGAAAACAGCCCATATAAAGTGATAAAAACCAAAAGAACTGTGGATGCTGTAAATCAGGAACAAAAACAAAGTTGCTGGAGAAGCTCAGCAGGTCTGGCAGCATCTGTGAAGGAAAAAACAGAGTTAATGTTTCAGGTCCGGTGACCCACAGAACATATAAAGTGATAATGTGCCTTGGAGTAGGTGAGAATGGGTGACTGTGCTTGTAACTCATGTCATAACAAGAGCGGGTGTGGGGATGGGTTAAAAAAAAATTCATGAAAGGATGGAATCAAGCTGTAAAGGTATTGAACTCAATGCTGAGTCCTAGGGACTGCAGTGTCCCCAAGCGGAAAATGAGAATTTGTGCTGTATTTGTTGGAACACTGAAGCAGGCCTGAGACAGAAATGTTGATGTGGGATCATGGCGGTGTGTTGAAGTGACAGGCGGCTGGAAGCTCAGGGTCATTTTTGCTGATAGAGCATAGTTGGCCTGCAAAGTGATCACCCAGCCTGTGTTTCATATCCCCAGCGTGAAGGGGACCACATTATGAACAGTGAATACAGTAGACTAGACTGAGTGAAGAACAGGTAAATTGCTGCTCCACCTGAAAGGTATGTCTGGGGCCTTGGATGGTGAGAAGGAAGGAGGTGAACTGGCAGGTATTATACCTTCTGTGATTGAAGGTGCTGTGGGGTTATGAGGAGATGTTGGGAATGGAGGAGGAAGATACCAGAAT